CACTTCGCTCCAATTGACTCTAAAGAAGAGGAACGAAATCAGATTTCTCTTTCGAAGACGGCGTTCGAATTCCTCCCCCTCCCCTCGCTTCCCCCAATTTATTTCGTCGATATATATATATATATGTATCGTACGTTTTAATAGCCTTATCCAGGGGATCGGATCCGTTACACGTACGCCGGTTTCGCGCCGAGCAATCCGCGCTCTAAATCGTGATGGTATCGCGGATGGAACGTTACGTGGATCCTCCAGCATCAACCGCGCATCAACGCGTGCCCCGCAGATAATAAATTCGTCCGCGGCTTCGCTCTCCAATGCGGGATCCCCCTCGTTGACCGAGCTCTCCAACTTCCGTAATCGATGGATCTGCGAGGAGGGTACGATCGCGCCGTGATACGAACGCCTCGAACCCGGTGATTTCAACGCTCGCGGAGGAAACGTTCTCTGGGGAGGGGGGAATGCTAAATAATCGCACGGATGTGACACTTTTTTCTTTTTCTTTTTTTTTTTACTCTGTCGAGGAAATACGAGTCGAGTATTTTGTTTGAGAAAATTGTGCGAGTATTTCTCTCTTTTTTTATTTTTTTTATTTGAAGAGGGTAGATTCTGTGTTTTTTCTTCCCTTTGCAGCGAGGTTATTAACAGACGTTCTGGGAATTCTAGATGCGATCAGAGAAGAAATCCGTCCTCGTGAAAATAAAATTGAAAAGATCGAAGGGATGGTATATTATTTGGAGGGAAGATCGATTATTTAGAATAGGTTCTTTTTTTTTCAGAGGGAAGAATAATTTTCCTCATTATGGGATTCGAAGTTATATATATTCAGTTTAATAGGATAAAGTTTCTTTTTTGAGGAATTAAAAGAAGAATTCGACGAACGAACGATAAATTCGATAAATTACGTTTCCTCGAAAAGAAAAAGAAAAAAAAAAGTATCCTTCTATCGATTCAATCTTAATACGGATACTGTTGCGTTTATGTAACTTGCGAGTTACATAGAAACTTTGGCATTCGAGATTTACAGTAACGATTGCGCTCAATGTTTATGACACATACGCCGTGTGAAACGATACTATAATAGGATTGTACCCCGGTGAAAAGAGAAGTTTCGGATTAATGTTTCGGCTTTGAGCATTGCATACAAGTGGCGTACACGATGCGTAAACTCTCCCAGTACTGGAGAAAATTGTGTCTCCGGTTTTGTCTTTACTCGTACGATTTACATTTACGCGACGTAACGAGATACATGAATCATATCCAAACGCTCTATTGTATTCGCTCTCTGTTGTTTTTACGACTTGGCTGTGTATTTCTCTTATCTGTGTGCATCGTTGTGCACACGGTGTGCAATACGCGGAAAGTGCAGGCCTCCACGCCACTAATTAGGCGTACGTACCAAACTTCTTCGTAAACTCTATATAAACTCGTGTTGTTGTATGCGCGAGTTACTCGAAATTTTATTCGATTCGAGTGGAATGCGATAGAAGTCGATCGCGATGAATTTCACTCCATTCGAGATAATATTTCCTTGGCAAAATTAAATTGTTCGAAATACCGTTAAAATATATTTTGAAGTAATTATCTAATATAATTCTTCGTCCATAATTATTACAAATTTCCCCTAATTTTTTCCCTTTTACTCAACGTCGAATATACAAGGTGAAAAAAATTTAAAGTGATGGATGTTAACGCGAATATATATTTAATGTGGAACAGAGTCGAGGGGAATTGGAGACGCGTGTCTAAGCGTTCTCCGGATCGTGGCGACGCGAAATTCCGCGTGTCACCGGTGACAAAGTGGTATGTTCACCTTTTTTACCGTGCCTCCCCTCGAGGAAGCATCCCGTCCCGCATGATCGACGCGAGTCTGGTGCCGTGCCGATGAAACCAGAAGTCCTTGATCCGTGGGCGATGCGAAACGATCGTCTCTACACCCGGAAGAAGGTGCGGTAGGTCAGCGTTCCTCCAACTTGCCTCTGTTTGCTCGTCCAGCTTTCCTCTTTTCTTTCGCACTTACGTTTATTTTTCTCTCTTTTTTTAAATAGATATCCAAGGGGAAACCATTTATACGTACACTTTTCTCATCCGTATGGTGGAAAAATTGTTAATCGTAATATGGAATATTTCCATTATTCATATTTGAATAATATTTGTTCGAAGGAAGGAAAGATTTTCAAAAAGAAAGAAGAGTTATCCTGAGCCTATCCTAAGAGATTAACCCTGTTTCCCCTGTTGTTCTTTATCGTAGCCTGGAAAAGCACACACAGGTTGGGACAGGTACAAGTGTTGAAAGAACGGGCCTGGTCGTTATCTCGTGACCACCGTTGCTTGGAACCACCAACCATGATTTTGCTCATCGATGATCGAAACGAACGGAACGGGTTGAACCAGAAACACCGTGGCCGGTGTTAACGACCGGCTGTTACGAACCAGGAAGATGTGGTGGTAGGTCAGGGATATGCGGGTCCCTCGATGCACGAAATTACGACGTGCAGCCTCGAGAACCGGCCTATTTCTTCCCTAGAATACAACCGTCGACCGACTTTAATTAGAGACGTTTTATCGTTTCTTTTCTCCCCTTTTTTCTTTTTGCCTCTTCCGTTACTCCATTGTTTGGAAATTTGGAATAATTTCGTGGATTTAATTTAAAGTCTCTCCTTTTCCATTCCTCGTCCACGAAATTTCTTTACAGAGAATTTTCAGAGAAACATTATTCTCCTCCTCGAACGAAAGAGAATTCGATACAAAAGTCCCCTTGTTCGGGGACTCGGATCCCTCGACGAGGGTTTCAGGCTAGATTTCCACGAGGAAGAGATTACGTCGGTGCCCCGTTCCTCCGCGCTTTCTCTCGCGCCGTCTCAATCCCGCGGCATTGTTCGCCCGCTTCTTCCCTTCCTCTTCCTCCACGAGCAGATCTTCCCACGCACGTGCCTTCTTCTGCGTGGCTCTCTCTCGTACGAGGCCCGCTGAATAATTACCAGATGAAGATACCGCCGCCTCGTGTAGGTTGAAATCTCTCTCTCTCTCTCTCTCTCTCTCTCTCGCCTCCAGATCCGGAGAGGAGGATTTTGCAACGGTACCCAGGCCGATGACGACGAAGAGGACGACGCGACGCCTCTTGGCGGACGATCGACCCACGAGGCCCGACCCTTGCTGTAACCGCTTCCATCCTCCCCCAAAACGAGCGACGTTTTCGTTTTCCTAGGATTAGTTTCAACGCGTGGGCATTAGTTTAAATGGAGGAAGAAAAAGAGAGAATGGAGATATATATATGTGGTGATTAGTGAATGATTTTTGAACGAGTTGGAATTCGTGATAGCAATTAGACGTCGAGTTAAGAAGAGAAGTTTGTACATTGTTGAAATTTAGCAAGATTGAGTTTCATTAAGAGTTTCATTATTATTTAGGGGATGGTGCGTGAAATTGTTTTGGTTTCAGAAGAAGAGGAAGAAATTTTTTCTTTTTTTTTTTTTTTTATTAAACGTGATTTATCATGGCTGCTTATTCGATTATTATAATCCTCAGATTATCGGTTTTTGATTTGCTCGATAAGATATAATAAGATATCGTGTTGTTTCATTCCTCCTCGTTAAAATTTTGGATGAGAGGAATCCTATTAAGATAGGTATCCGCGTAATAATAAATTTAATGAAATTACAGAGAGAAATGTAATTTTCAATTTTCTTTTTGAAAAAAAATTCGATGCAATTTTATGCCACGGAGAATATAATAGTCCATTAAACTAATAGAAAGCGAGAAAGTTATTCAAAATAGCCGTGGCGAATTCCAACGCCTTTTAATTCTCTTTACTTAGAAATTGGCATCGATATTTGACGTAGCGCGAAAAAAAAAAAAAAAAATAAAAGAAAAAGGGAAAAAGGAAAAAGCAAAAAAAAAGAAAAAAAAATATTACACGTGAAAGCATAATAAAAGACGGGGAGAATATTCAGTAGACCAACTGGCCAGGCTGATCCTTCTTTATAGAGTGGAAGCATAAAAGTAAGTCTTACTCCTCTCAGGAAGAAGAGGTGAGAACTGCGCAACGCGACAGTAGTTTACGATGATAACCTGTCATTTCGACATTTTACGAAGTGGATGAAACACGAGCGTTTTCTAAAACTGTCATTTCGTGTCTTGCACTTTCTTCTACGAAATCGAATACACACACACACACACACACACACACACGAGAAGAGAGATCAGGTCTCGAGCGAAAGAAAGAAAAAAAAAATCGCGACGACGATTGAAACGTCTAACTTCTTCTTCTTCTTCTTCTTCTTCTCCTTTTTTTAAAAGCTTCGTTTCTAATTAACGGCCGCAGAGTGTTAATTGTCCATGGAGCCGTCTCAGTGGGGATATGCTCAGAGAGAATTCCTGCATGTTGCATGGATTGGGCAGACTCAACGGAATTCTTTTCACTCGATGCAATAAATATATATATATATATAAGTGTTTCCACGAAAACGCGACAGGGTGTCATCGAAAGTGAATTCTTCGCGTTCCCGTTCTCGGGCAAACAGTCTCTGGCGAGTTTCTAAAGCTATAAAAGATACCTCCATAAAGCCACTTTAAAAATTATCTATTTTAACTTGTCGTAAATTTTATCCGTTACTTTACATGTTAATTTTCACTCTTTCTCAAAATTTTCTATTCCTTTAACCAGCACTCTTGTGTAATCTTAAGTTAAACAACATTTGTTGTACTAAAAATGAAAAGGTCACGTTTAAAAAAATTAATCCTGAATGGTGGAAATTTGGAAATATATGCTTTTACGATACACGATTCAATTAGATCAGTTAATCGAATAGAAAACTAAAAGTATCTTGTAATCCGAATCAAGCGTTACAAATTTCTTTTAAAATAATATTTTCATTATTCATTGGTCAACAAAAAATCATTTCATTCAAATTTCTCTCGAACGAAAGATTCAAAATATATATATATATTCATTATTTGTAATTCGTCAGAACACACGCTGATAATTTACTTTTATTTTTCAGAGATGGCAGAGAAGATGGTTCGTCCTGTACGACGACGGGGAGCTGACATACTCTGTGGACGAGCACGTGAGTCTCATTAAAAAAAAAAAAAAAGAAAAAAGAAAGGGAAAAACACCGTTTATCGTAAATTCTCGATTCGTCATCCTCGATGCACAATCGATTCGTCGTCGAAATCCATTTTGCACCTGACAAATCCCTTTAACCGACCCACTACGGTTTCATTCAGCGAAAGTGATCGTTCCACCATCGAAAACGTTCAAACGTAAACAACACGAATCCCTTTCTTTAATACTCGAACGTTGCGCCAACCGGAATGAGCGTTCTTTATAACGTCGCTTTATAACGTCCATAATGGCCCTTTGTGCGCGAAGGACGTTCAGATACGTATCATTCAAAAAAGGATATCGAGAACGAAAGTACGGTTGATTTATCGGTGAATTATCCTTTACAATGTACGGTCCCCAAAACTCGTTCATTCATTCGTTCTCGTTACGTTGCTCGAGTTGTTTCAGAAGAAGAAGAAGAAGATTTTGGATCTCGAGTATCTGAGACAAATTCTCTTATGGATAAATTGTTATAACAGAATTTTTAGCTGGTAAATTAAGCCTCGACTTAAAGGAATCGGTTCCAATGAATCAGTTCGATCTCGATTTGTTTCTCATTTTACATTACTTTCTATCCATTTGAATAGTGAAAATTTAACATCATTAAATTAGTAGATTTTTTGTTGTATTCAATCATTAAAACGGATTTTCGCGGGAAAGTTAAACCATTCGTAAAAAATACAGATGTTCTTTCGTCGAAAAATTATCACATCATATTCGAAAATATTCCAAGTAATTAAATTGTAAATTGTTCTTGGAGGCGCAATTAAGAAATATTTGAGAATTTCTGTCGCAAGACAGCTTCTCTCTGCGCGAATCGCCCCGAGTGGCGGACAGTTATCACCGTTGGGGGAATCGTGAACTGTCAGTCCTGGAACGTTATGGCAGGCAGTGAATCAAAAGCCGCCCCTTGAAAACGGCTTCCTCGAAGTCTAGGAGCTGGGCAGAGGTCGAAGTCAATTGTAGTTAGCCGCCATCGTCGGCGCCATCAATACCATCGACAATGTCCAGGCCGGCGGAAATGGCGCGAATCTCGCGGTTAGAACCCTTTTCCTCGCTGACGTCGATGACCGTGGTTACGCCAAAGAGCGTCAGAATTGATTTAAACGAGAACCGATGGCTGTTTAAAGACCGTAAACTCCGTCTTCCGCGAATTTCCCTCGAGAACTTGGACAGATGGCGTTGATGGTAATGGGGAAATTCTTCTCTGAAATTGGGATCAAGGATCAGAGATTTTATCATTTTATTATTTATACTTATCAACGCTTATAGAATTATACCAAGCTACATAACGTTTATCCAAAGCAAAGCATCATCGTGAAAATAATTATATCGCACGACGTGTAATTGCATTTCTATTCAGAAATCAATATCAATTTTGGAGAAAAAAAACACAGTTGGTCAATTTGACTTAATTTGTACTCACAAAAACTTGTAAAAATTAAACGAATCGCGCGTATATATACGTTTATATATGAATAGGATATCGTAAAGACAGGCGAAACGAAAAACCCCTTAATAATTAACGGCCATTAGCCGCGCCAGCCCTTGAATTCGTAAACTTTAGAGGAATCTCAATCGTGGGAAAGGAGTCTCGAGTCTGGCCTTTTTAAAATACACCTTTCTCTCCTTCCAACATAATCCATTACGAAAAGAAGAAAGATAGAGAGAAAGATAGAAAAAAAAAAAAATATCGCTAACAATAACTCTCGATCGAAAAAGTACATCGAACGAGGACTCCAACGACTCTCCCATCATCCTGCACAATGTCTCTTCCCATAATCTGGAAACGAAATTATCGTTTCGTGCCGGTGAGTATCATCGTGTATCTTGGCAAGATAGCCGTCTATATTAACCGCCGATCGATATTAACCGTGCTAAACGGATCTTAAGATGCTTAAGCTACGTGGAGGATCCGATCGACGAAGATGGACATTAAAGACTCGGTTTCGCGTGCCGATAAAAAATTTACACGGCGAGCACCAACGCGTATCAAGATTGTCAACTTTCCTCCGTCGAACGGTGTCTATCTATCGAACTTTAACCGGATATCGCCTATAGCGTCTATTACAGGCTGTGGACACGCGAAAACGGAATTAAAATGATGGCGTTCGGTTTAAAGGATTGGACGATGGGCGTCGATCCGTTCGTGCATGCGACAACAACTCGGCCATCTTCGAAGGACCGGATTAACGATCCGGTCGCGGTCCTTAAGGGGGTCCATCCGTTTCGAGAATAATCTCGGCCGAAAAATGCGAGAAGATGATAAGCTATACGTACGGAACGTGTCTCTCTCTCTCTCTCTCTCTCTCTCTCTCTCTTTTTCTCCTGCTCGGACGAGCAGGCGGCCTTGAGACGGAATGTGAAATTGGGCTAACGGGTCCGGACTCTTGTGCATCGTTTTTGCCCACAGATTTTTACCGATTCTTCGTTTTTTCTCTTTTTTTTTTTTTTTTTGGAGAGAGAAAGAAAATTGGAATGCTCTTCTTTGCGAAATCGAGTTAAAATTAGTCTCGTGAATCGAATCGAGATCGATCAGCTGATCGAAAGGAAAGGAGCCGATTTTAAAAAAAAAACAATTAAATCCAACGATGGATCTATTTTGTGTCTGGATTATCTGGTAAAGTAGAAGGCAACACGAATGAGATACGTAATAATAGTTTCTTCATGTATCGGATCTTGTATCTTGTATATCGATGAATTTAAAATTCTCTCTTTGTAGAAAATCGGATCGAAATCGAAATGATCCGTTTATTAATATTTATACGATGTAAAATGGGAGAGGAGGAGGAGGAACACGAAGAAGAAGGGAGTTTCGAAAGGAGGAAGAAACTAATCTTCGCGAAACGAGTACCACCTCAGCCCCCCCCCCCCCCCCCCAGCCGCCAACTCGTTAAAACGAGCATCGCCTCGAACTTTCCCTACGTTAAAAGCGGGGAAAATGGAGGCGAGAGAAGGAAATGGAAGCGTCCCGTAGCGAGCATTTATCAAGGTTGTTCGAACGGGACAGGCGTAATCGTTGGGATGGGATTGGCGCGGGCCCCAATAATCGATGGTTAATTGGAAATGGCATTTCTCAAGGGAGATGCCTCTCGCTACCGTGCGCGCTGGTTCGTCGAACGCCTCGCCTCGTATCTAAGCGAAATGGCCACCGGTGGCCAATTATGCAAATCCCTTGTTGGGGAGGGATATCAATCGTTCGGATTGGAAACGATTAGCTAAGTTTCGCGAGAGTTCTTTCAATTATTATTATCGGACGGAGAATTTTCTCTTCGTACTTCGTGCTTCGAGGATCGAAAGAAATTGGATCGATCGATCCGTTAATTGCGCCATAAAACCGCGAAACTTTTCTTTATCGCGCTAGTCGTTCCTGCCCTCTTCCTCTTCTTCCACTTTTTTTTATCGTCGTTTTCTTCCTCCTTCTCTTTTTCTTCTTCTTCTTCTTTTTTTTCTTCTTCTTCCTCCTCTTCTTCTTCTTCTTCTTCTTCTTCTTTTTCTTCGTCGTCGCTTTCTTTCGTAGGACGGGCTCTCGAGGCGAGCCGATCACTCGTAGCGATTACCGGCCTCGCGCGCTCTACGCTCGGCTTGATTTACGCGCGCCTAATTAAATGAATTAGCCACTTGACACCGGTGTAAATTACGGCCTGATCGGGGTTCCTTGTGTTTATGTATGTTTGGATAGCGTCTGGCGTGAATTTGAATGGATAGCGGAATTCGCATCGAGAGGGAGGAATGGAAATTCGGAATGTGGAATTTTGAAAATTTCTTAATGGCGGAAGCGGAGGGGTAAGAGGATAGCGGATAGAATAGATTCGCTAGGAAATAAAAGTTGATGACACTTTTCATTTTTGTAATCGCAAATTTGGAAAAGATAATCTCGTCAAACGGTTACCACGAATGAAAAGATCCCTTTACTCGCTGCTATAGATTTAATAATTCTAGAATAATTAAATAAAAATCCGTCCACAAGACACGAGACTCGAATAAAAGTTGATGACACTTTTCATTTTGTAATCGCAAATTTGGAAAAGATAATCTCGTCAAACGGTTACCACGAATGAAAAGATCCCTTTACTCGCTGCTATAGATTTAATAATTCTAGAATAATCAAATAAAAATCCGTCCACAAGACACGAGACTCGAATAAAAGTTGATGACACTTTTCATTTTGTAATCGCAAACTTGGAAAAGATAATCTCGTCAAACGGTTACCACGAATGAAAAGATCCCTTTACTCGCTGCTATAGATTTAATAATTCTAGGATAATTAAATAAAAATCCGTCCACAAGACACGAAAGTCGAATAAAAGTTGATGACACTTTTCATTTTGTAATCGCAAATTTGGAAAAGATAATCTCGTCAAACGGTTACTATTGGATCCCACGAATGAAAAGATCCCTTTACTCGCTGTTATAGATTTAATAATTCTAGGATAATTAAATAAAAATCCGTCCACAAGACACGAGACTCGAATACATCTCGTATCTCTGGCCGAGGAAGTTGGTCAGCTGGTGTTGTTTACGGTTATTCGCAATTAAACGGTGCTCTAACGGCCGGGCACCGTTACGATATTAACGCGGATAATAATGGACAGAATCGTAGGTGGAACAAAGGCGTCCTTAATGGCCGCGTTTTCCTCCCGGTTATTATTCCACCCGCTATTAACCGTGCACGGTTCATTAACATTTATCGGCGACGCAACTGTTGTGTTGTCGTCTCGCCGATGGCTATCGTTTAATTGGGGTCAACTGATTAACTCGCGTTTAGACGAACAACCATCCGTGTAAGACAGTTCTGAGGGGGGAGGGGACGAGTCGACGGCGAGCCTCCCTCTTTTCCTATTGTTCGCCGTTGCCTGGTATCGATCTCGTCATCTCGACGTCATCCCGTGTTCCCGCAACGTTAGACCCGCCAAAGACACGTCCCCTAATTAGTCCCCGCCGACTCCCTTAGGCCTCGAT